TATTTCTAGGAATCAAAATATTTCTTTACATCTTGTTCATCAGTCCATAATTCCTTCATTCATCTCTACAATCTACACTAGGCGTTTTATTTCTAATCAAAGCCACATGCATTCATTGTTTCCGTGTTAACTTGATCGTGTTTATCTCCATGCAGATACATGCAAAATTCTCCTCGTTTCACACCAATTCATGGAGATCATTTCTCACTGACCCAGCTCAAAACTTTCCCTCCTGGGGAAATCATCTCCTTTAAATCTGTTTTCATCTTCCTCTTCCTTCAGCCAGCTCATGTTACTTAAAGTTTTCCTCAATTCATTTTCTATGTATTTTCCCAGGTATACATCAATTTTATCAGCATGGGCAATGGTACACTTTCCCCTTTCATCATTAGGCACAGGGAGCAGAAACCAAGATGCCCCAGTTTAGATGACATCATCTGATGACAGGAAAAGAGAACTAGAATAAGACCAATCTCTTTTACATCTTCTGCTTTTAGATTGGAGAGTCACTGCTGGAGATTTTTTAAAAAGTAACTGCTGAGAGCAGTCAGGAATATCAGATTTTTTACTGGATCACAGTAGAGATGTTGAGAAAAGACTGTTATATGCACCTTTCTGTCTTCCATTCATCTTTATCCCACACTCTAAAAAAAATTCTCTTGTGTCCAAACAAATTTAGAAACATGATTATCTCATGGTATCTTTGGCACCTACACATCTACATAAAAAATTCATTATCCATATTAAATAGATTTCTCTTACTATTATAAATGATGAATAAAATTTGAGATTTGTTGAGTTTCAACATTAGAATTATTTTCCAGTGTGANCATACATAGAAATGCTCTGCCTTGTGTTTTAATATATAAGAATTAAATGTATGTTTTTTTTATTTCCCCTTATAACACTCACAACTGCATAACTTTGAGAAATTGCTTGATGTCCATTTCTTGGGCATGGCTAATTCACAAAACTTATCTTCCTAGAAGATTTTTATACTGGAATTTTGCCAGAATCCCCTCTGACTCAATTTAATTAGGGAACTGTAAGAGATTAACTGAGAGAAAAGCCTCTCCTTGTCCCTTCTACTCATCCACCTACCCTGGGTCCTGGATGTTAAATTTCAGGCAAGTGTCAAAAGACTAAGTTTTTGAGCTATGTTGGAACCGCATCCTAAACGTTAGATGCTTATCTATAGCTGTTTCCATTCCTCACAAATTTCTTTAGCAAGCCAGAGTATTTTCTCAGAAGATTTCCAATGTTTATGCTGCTTGGGAAAGCCAGAAAACAATTTTCTAAGGAAAAATTCAGCCTTTTCATCTCTTAACTTTATAAGAAACCGGAAGAGAAGAAGTTTACCACATGGGATAACAAAAGAGCACCAGAAGAAATTCTCACTTTATCTGGATTGCTATAAAGATTAGCATAAATATTTCTAAATTTAGACTTTCATACGTGCATTTTATTTTACACATCCTCATCAGCATGGCTTTCCACTGTATTTCTGGAACTATCTAAGGAGTAATTTCTGGGTCATATTTGAAAGGGGGTAAATACTATTTAGAGGTCTTTGATAAATCTCTGCTGGAAAAATACTTGTCCACTCTATTTCTAGGAATCAAAATATTTCTTTACATCTTGTTCATCAGTCCATAATTCCTTCATTC